ATGAATAATAATTCAATGTTCTCAATTTTTTGGTCTAATAACAATTTAGGTCATTACAAATTTAATGATTAGACAAATCAGACATTGTTTTCTGAATTGTGAGTTTAAATACCTAATAAATCATTGTATTTTTCTTAAGTAAAGTCAATGATTTGAATTTTGATATTTGTGAACCTATTAAATTAGGTTAGGAGGATCGTCATTCTCTCTATAGTAATTGGTGATATGTCTTTCGCTGCCTGCAACAACTTTTTTCTTTTAACTGAAAATGAAACGTAAATCTTGTTTTCTTTTTTATCCGTTATTGAATCCTCCAAAAGAGATTGTCGGCTAAGCTTGGAACCACAGTGCTGAAGTCCCACTGCCAAAGATGTTGTTATGCATTTTGTTGTTTATGCACTTCATATATTCGCTGTTATATCTCTATTTGAAATGGCTATATAATGGCAGCTGAACCCTATACGAGTAACCCCATGTGACATATGTGCATACAGGAACCATCATCAATCATTCAGATTTATATATACACTGATTTGTTATTTCCTTTTTGTGATTTGCCAGTTTCATATCACATCCAAAACCTGTTGTTTGAAAAGAAGTCTTGGAGTTTATAAACTTGCCTTTTGAAGGGGTAGAATCTCCATTTATGAAATATGGAAGAATGAAACTAATAATAACCATCTATAACGTATATGTATTATTAGAAAATACAATCACATTGTTTGTTCAAAACTGGCTTCTCTGAAATTCATTAAGTAATCTCATTGGCGTATTGTTTTCTTCTGAGGTCCTGAGTTTGAACGGATGCGTTTTTCGATAACTAAAAAAGATTAAAAAAGATATTATCTTATAATTATCTCAAATTATAAAAAAAAAATGGTTTTTCTGATTGTATGGATTGCCTTTAGAAAATAACATCATATACGGAATTTTAATTATTTGTTTTGGAGTTGATGTATCCTCTTTGATATTGATTTTACGGTGGAGGACAATCAGTTCTTTCGTGTTTCATGTTGTCTCTTCCAACATTGTTTTCAGAATTTGAATACGAATATTTAGAGTGTAATCTGCCTTTTTAACTATTATTTACTAGATTTTGTTACATGATGTGAGTAACAAAAATATTTTACATGAAAAATAAATGTACAAAAATAATTTAACAAATGATCACAAGGAAAGTAATAAAGAATTTGAACATGAAAAGTTTTGAACAATAAAAACACTCATAATAATATGGGTAATTTTTTAATATAGGATTGTGTAAATGTTTATACAACATTGTCTATCTGAACCTAAAATCTAAAATAATAACCCTACTGTTATAAATTTTACCCCCTAAATTTTATTAATAAAGAAGAATAGTTACCCCCTAAATTTTGGATTTAAAAATATAAAACCATAAACTTTAAATAAGACATATGTTATTAAATAGACATTTGTTTAAACTTTAATTTACACAATTTGTATATCAAATAATTTTCCTACTAATATTAAATTTATGTTTCAAATAATTTTTCTACTAATATTAGTAACTTTTTTTATACACGCCCTGTGTAAAAGTAATTGTTGCATAACTTGTTTATTTTAATGTCATTTTTAATATAAGGTTTAAGATTTTAAATGTTATGGTTTATGATTTATCATTTTAGAGTTTATGATTTTAAATTTTAGTATTTAGGATTAAATTATACATCTTGTACAAAATAAATATTACACAACTCATGTATCAAACAATAACACATAAAATTATTGTATAAAAAGAATGGTTTTTAGTCCTTTAGTAAAGGGACTGATTCAAAAATATTTTCAAGATGAGATCAAGTAGAATTTTTTTATATAGGATAAATACAAATTTTAGGGTGAACACTATTAATAAACTAAAAATTAAATTAAATAAATCCGGATTTTACAGCACATGTCCACCTTGAAGAACCATACACCTACCATTAGTTTAATCAAATTGAGTTGACACTCAAATAACATGCGATAATACCTCAATAATATTATAAAACTAGAGATAGAGTGAATATCTATAATATCTTTACTATGTTTTACTATGCTGGTTAGGAATTTGTAAATAGAAAAGAAAACAAAATAAAATTAATGGAACACTTAAGAGATAAAATTTATTTTGATTCGATCCAATCTATACCCATAAATGAGAGAAACAAATTATTCGATCCAATATATATATATAAGACTCAGTGTATCTTAAAAATTCTCTCAATATCTTTACAAAGCTCATCTTTACAACATAAATCTCCATAGTTGTAAATATCTCAAAAATGATTATAGCTTTTCAAAATCTTTCTTTACCATGGTTCTAAATGTTAAGACCTACACTATATTTATTGAAAAACAAACTTAGTCATCTAAATAAACTTAATAACCAAAAAATCAACAACCACTAAATTAAAATAAAATTTGTATTTATTACTAATTAGAATTTGAGTCGATATGTATTAATATATTTTTTACGAGTAACCGCGATTAGAGAAATAAAATCGCAAATAAGAACACATGTTAGAAAATTTTAAATGAAGAAAATCACAAACAAATGAAAGAAATTTCATTATACCAACTATAAATATAAGAGAATTTCACATAATTACATGAAACCCTATCATTCTTGTTATACACACAGACATATATATCAATGGACACAAAAATCATAGTTCAATTAAACATCAAGCTCGTGAGTCTTCACATCCATTAGAGACCCCCATTTTCTTCTCAATTTTTGTCTTCACCAAGTGGAACGCACCGCAGGGTTAGACTAAAATAGAATTCGAATTACAAGCTTCAACACTCTTTTCTCTCACTGACTTTATAAGTTTTTTTCAGGCCTAATACTAAAATAAGTGCCTAAATTATTTCCGAATTAGTGCGTAAACTATTTTTTGACTCATCCAGGTGCTTAACGTTATAAACGTTACCCATTTAGGTGTTCGGACCGTCAACAGCGTTAATTTTCCTGTTAAGTGACATATGTCACAATCTGGTACTTTTAAAATTTATTTTTTCAAAAAATATTATTATATTTATTTTAAAAAAAAAACCCTAATTTCTCTTAAATTATAAAAAGCCCCAAAATACCTAAAATCCTCAAATCATATCCTTAACCCGTCGTCGCCTCCCTTTCCGGCCGTGACCATCCTCCTAGTCATAAGCTATCGTAGTTGTCGTCGATTGGCCGTCGAGATCGCGATTTTTATCCTATGGTTCGCGGGTATAAAATGTCGATTGGCCGTCAATTAGTCACGATTTCATGGTAGTTTTGGTCGCCGGGGGAGATGAGGTTGGGTGGAGCTTCTTCGACGGCAAAGGGCGACGATCAACATGGATTTAGGGCTTGAAATGAAGGTTTTTAAAGTTTTGGGATTATTTCAAAAAATTTATGTTTTTCTTTAAAAATATGTATGATTTGAATTTTTTTAAATTTTTTAATAAAATTTTTAAAAGGACCACATATGTGACACATGTCACTTAACGGAGATATTAACGTCGTTGGTGGTCCGGGCACCTAAATGGATAATATTTGTAACGTTAGATACTTGGATGAGTCAAAAAAATAATTTAAACACCTATTCGAAAAAAAGCGATATTATTTAAATACTTATTTTGGTAATATTTGTTTTTTATGAACTACAGTTGACCCTTGTCTATAAAATATTAGCACAAACTAATTTTGCTAAGTTGGATTCGACCACAGGGACACTAAAGCTCCCTATAAAGTATTTAGGGTAAATTATACAAATGGTCTCTCAATTATATGGTGTTGCTTTGTTGAGTCATTGAATATTAAAATTTACAAAATAGTCCCTTAATTATAGGATATTGTTTTTTTAGTCTCCAACATAAGATATTGTTTTGTTTAGTCCCGGACCATTAAAAGTTACAAAATAGTCACTCGATTATACATATATTCCAAACTTGTCATTTTTCGTTAAAAATGATGATCGTCTAAGTTAGATGTTAACTTATTGATTGAGATATGATACAATCATATTTTTATGATGTATGTTATCACAACCATAGCTTTTAAGAATTGCTCAGTGACATAATGTTTCGAGCAATGGCTTAGTGACATAAATTGGTTTAACGTTCGATAGAATAGTCAATAGTCACTTTAGTCTCTATACTTTTTTTGTAAAGAACCTTGATCTTTAATGTTTCATTTTAAGTCAAAATTATTTATTTTTAATCAAAATCATTAACTAATGATCAACACTTCTTTTTTACTATACGTGACCTAGAACATTGATGTGGTATTTTCACATATGTATAAGTGATGATATAATATTACATCAATAAAAACTTTTCATTTGTATAAAATTATTTTTATTAATTTAATCATGTATCATCATTTGATTGATATAATTGATATAAAGTAAAAAAATGAAGGTAGAGAGAATTAAACTCCAGTATTGTAGGAGTGTCGGGCCAACAATGTTATTTAGGTTAGACTGTAATCGTAATTAATTACATATATATTTACAAAATATATTCATTATAAGATGAATTAAATTAATTTATGTTTATAACATGAATTTTAATTTTTTTATTTATAATATTTTAAGGTTTTTTGATATTTTAACAATGTTAGTTTTTTTTATATTTTTTTCTATTTTTAATATTTAACCCTTATCTTGTGTAGTTTACCCTAAAGTTAAATAGTGTAATCAGACGACCAGCATATCTCAAATTGAAACTTTTGAATGGTTGGTCCGGCTTTTCCATCCATGCTTATAGCTGTCATGCTTTTCTACCTCCACGAGAGCTAAAGTTTGGTAAATCAAATAGGCAGTTGGAATTTAACATCTTCAAACGTTTTACAAGCCATTGAATAATATATATATATGATGATTGATTGCTGACAAACGCTGTCAAATACAGTACTGAAATTTATCAAGCCGGTATAATATATTACAGATTGATTCAATTTAAGATTCAAATAAATATTTTGATAGGTTTCTTACTTCTTGTTGAACTAATCCCACAACGCGAGTACAGGTCAACAGAGATATTTGCAGCCAGAACTACGAACCACCCATGAAAACAGCACCATGTCCACTAGATTTCATGTACTTCTTTAACAAAAGAACCAAGATTGCAATGGCCAGTCCAACAGCAGCCCATGTAAACAAGCGGTCGTCCGCAGATCTTTGAACCCTCACCTCCGGCCTCTGCAGTGGCTGATGACTTGGTTCCCTACCAGGAATCTCTCTCACTGCCGCCCTCACCCTCATTTCAGCATTGCCTGGATTAGCATTGGTCTGAGCAAGTGGCTCTTCTTCAACAGCCCCGTCGTGTACTGTTGGATTCAGTGGTCCATTCTCAGCAACCATAGTAATTGTATCCTGCTGATTAGCCTGAGCTTCTCCATCACTGTTGGTAGGGTGTTCTTCTGAGGCCTGTGAAGGGCTGAGTTGAGGAACAGAGGGTGCCTTGCTTAACATATATTCATGAATCTGTACCACCAAAATTTTCGTTAACAGAGAACCAAAATCACCTTATTCAGGTGTAATTTATGTAAAACATACCTCATCAATAAGCTTTTGCCGCTCAGGAGTCCCAAATTTAGGTGGAGCTTCACGAGATTTAATGGCAAGGGCATGACGTTCTTCTTTCTTATAATCTAGAGAACCTAAGGCACCATTTGGGCTGGTGGGCATGAAAGCGATCAGTGCCACTAGAGCAGTCCTCACTATCAACACCAACAGCCAGATTAGCCAGTTTTCATCTGAATTTTGTTCAAGCTAGAAGGGAATGTACAAATTTTCCTTGAATACTCAAAAGTTGAAATTAGTTTCTTATCATTCAATACACGTCTTGTATTACATTAAAATTGGGGGCAATGTAATCCTTAATATAGGGCCACTTTATCCAACTTTCAGGTATTAAAATATCATCCCTTGAATAAATAATAACACAACCTTTTGGTTCCGATCCAAAATACAGAAAAAAAAGGACAGTCGAATTAAGAACATGCCAGAATGCAGGAATAGAAAACAGTACTAATGTAACTATATCAGTCTAAATTTTAGGAATGGTTGCATCTCAGCTAGGTTAGCTGATCACCCCATTCAAACAATGTAGGAGGGAACTAGAAATGTAAGACCAGAGATCGATTAGGAGAACTAAAAGTAAAAAATGCATGTTTTTTTTTTATAGAAAAAATGCATGTGTTTTTGTTTCGCTTTTATTTGCTTATAGGCCTTATAAGTAAATAGAAATGAGAATCAGATCAAGTAAAAATGATAATGGAGTGATCTTGTGGCATTGCCTAATGGAGCTGGAGACATTTTCACTATTCCATTTCAGGTGAGGTTTGGTATTGGTAATCAATGAACAAGACAATAGAGCTTAATTTTCAGCAACAAAGAGATTTACTAAGAAGGTCATGGAGACTGATAAATGAATATATGTTTTCTTGAGCAACCAGTTAATCCGGATCTTAAGAAGGTCATGGAGATTCAAGTTCATTAGTTGCCAATAAGATTTTTGTGAATGCTTTTGAAGAATGTCATCAAATAGCAATAGAATCAACATTACAACATACAACTACTTTTTCATTACACTCAATATCCAGATTTTATATGCAATTTGTGCTATAATTATGCGTTTAACATTCAAGAGAAGAGAATACTAACCACTCCAAGATGGCTGCCAATGCTCAGGGTGGTGATTCGATATACTTAAGCAGATTTTAGTTTGGGTTTCGAAACGCCCGTTTGGCTGAAATGTAAACAGGCAAAGAAACTTGTTACCACATCCAATTAGATAATTACCTACACAAAAATTATGCACATATGTTTGGATTTATTTATAAAGAGAGCGCTTACTGTCAGCAACATAAATGAAGGAGGCTTAAACGGATACTCAGCAGGCAATCGGATCCTTCCATGATAAATCCCTCCTTCAAATTCAGAATCCCTGGGACCCCTAATTGCAAATTGCCATTCGAATATATTCTCCTGAAAACCAATCCAAATGAGAAGAAACCCCAATTTATCATGAAGATCCACAATAGTCTCATAAATCAATGAACAATTTGCTCCTAATTGGACATGAAACCAAAAAAAAATCTCAAAATCATCAAATAAATCCACATTCCATCCAGGACCTGAATCATCAAATCAAACTAAAAAAGAAGCCCTAAATCTTGAAATCTGAGGGGAAAGAAAAAAACAGACCTCGAGAGGGAGGCTCATGAAATCATCAGAAGGATTCGATTGCATCTCCTTAACCTCCTGTAATATCCTCTTCACCCCCGGATTCTTGAGGTTGTACTTGTCTTCGGCCATTGGATCACGATCTGACAGAATATCAACCCACCACAGGCACCGCCGCCGCTACCACCTCCGTTCCGATCAGCTGACTAACCTCGCCGGTACATAAAATAAGTGTTTTCGAGTGTTGGAAATGAGAGGATAATCAGAGACAATGAGATTACTTATTTATTTAATCTGGCGCTGAGTTGTTCATTCGACACGTCATGTAACGCGTGTTTGACGACGTGGCGTTACTTTATTGGATGGTAGCAATTGGGTTTTGTACATATTGGTTTCGGTGACTTTTTATTTATTTAAAAATACTCTTTGAATCAAAATTAAGTTTAGGCTGCTGATATGAAATTTTTCCTGCATCTTTTGTGCTTCACTTGTTACGGATGAAGTCTGATCACCGTCCTTTAATGCTTTTAGATGTTTTGGGCTTCTCATGCGGATTTTGATCGTATGCTGCGTGAAAATTGCAATTCTTCTTTGCCTATCTCTGAGACAATTGCAAGTTTTTCCACTGCTGCAGCAAGAGTGGAACAAAGCTGTCTTCGGGTACATTGGAAAACCCAAACGGATGCTTATAGCTCGTCTTAGGGGGGGTTCAACGTCTTCTTGATCAACACCGGTTGGCAAACCTTGTAAAGCTTGAAACCAAGCTACTCGGTGAGGCTAGAACAGCTACTTGGTCATGAGGAATTACTATGGAAACAGAAATCTACTTCAAATTGGGTCTCCTTTGGTGATCGGAACACTAAATATTTCCACTCCAAGGCCCTGTCTAAGCGTCCTCGTATCTCAATCCGGATGATCAAATTAAACGATGGCGAGTGGTGCGATAATGATGATGATTTGCGAGCAGCGGCTACCGAGCATTTTAGTGGCCTTTTCTCTGATCGTTCACGGTCCACATGTACTTTTCCTATACTGGATTGTTTCCCGAAACTCTCAGCTGCTGATGAGATCCGAGCACTCTTAAACTCTGTAGCCCCTCTGAAGGCCCCGGGTGTGGATGGGCTGCTCGCGAAATTTTTTCAGAAACATTGGGCTGTAGTGGGTGACACTGTCTGTAAGCGAATCCAGTGAATTTTTGAGACCTCCTCCTTGGACCCGTCCTTAATCGTACAGTGCTCGTACTAGTTCCAAAGAAGGATTCTCCCGAAGGGTTTAATGATTTCAGGCCTATCAGCCTCTGTCCTATACAAATTGGTAACAGAGATCATTGTTCGTCGCCTTCAGTACATCATTCCCAAACTAGTGGGTCATCACCAAATTAGTTTCATTGTCGGTCGGAACATTCAGGAAAACATTATAATTAATCAGGAGATTATGCATTCTATGAATTTGAAGCATGACAAATTTGGGTGGATGGCGATCAAAGTCGACCTCCAAATGGCTTTTGATAGTCTCAAATGGAGTTTTATCAGAGATACAATCCTTGAAGCCGCCTTCCCCACATCCCTGGTGCGTCTTATCATGAGTTGTATTACTGGTGTCACTAAGGAAGTCTAATGGAATGGTGAGCTATGCCCGGCTTTCACACCTGAGAAGGGTGTCCGCCAAGGAGACCCTTTATCGCCATAACTATTCATCCTCACCATGGAGCGGTTGAGTCACCTCATTCATCACTCGGTTGCATCTGCAACTTGGGAGCCCTTTCGTCTTCCAAGATCTGGTACCCCGCTATTTCATCTATTTTTTGCGGATGATTTGCTTCTTTACAGCAAAGCTAGTACTGATCAGTCTATTGCAGTCTCTCATATTCTGGATATATTTGGTCATCATTCTGGCCTCACAGTTAATAAACGGAAAACGGAATTCTTCTCTCCTAATAACCCATGGCTACTCTGCAGCAAATTAGTGAGCAACTTGGTTTCCACCGAGTGGAGGAACTGATAACTACTTATTTTATGCAGTCCTGTCTGCTTCCGAATCATGTCTGTAATAGCATTGAGCAGCTCATCCGCCAGTTTATTTGGAAATCTAGCCATAGCGATAGCGCCTTCCCTTTGGTCAAATGGAGTACTTTAGCTCAACCTTATAAGCATGGCGGGATCAATATCCGACAGCCGTTTCTTCACAACATCTCTCTTTTATGGAAGGTTTCCAATGCTTTGATCACGTCCCCTGAGGCGCTTTGGATTAAAGTCTTACGTGAGAAATATTCCGTCTCTACAATGGTCCCGGAATCTTTACACCGGAGCTCTTGCTCACCCCTTTGGCGATCCATCTCAAAGTCGTGGACCATTTTCCTCTCCAATAATAGGTGGTCTGTTGGCAATGGCGAAACGGATAGTTATATAGTACGGTAGACTAATATACGACTAAAGAAATACGTTATTTAAAATGTTATTAGTTTTTTAATATTTCCGGTAAAGCGCTACCTAAAACATTATTATTTTTTTTACTGATAGAAAAAATAACATTTTAGGTAGCGCCTAATATTAACATTTTCGGTAAAAAAAATAATGTTTTAGGTAACGCTTTACCAGAAATATTAAAAAATTAATAACATTTCCGATAGCGCTTTCCATAGTCGTATATTAGGTTGTCGTACGGGATACATTCCTTGGCGAAACGATTCGGTTCTGGTATGATAATTGGATACCAGCCATCGGACCTATTCACCTCTGGAGGAGTTCGCCTTTGGTCCAGTTTAATGATGATCTTGTGGACACTACTGGCGATTGGGATTGGAATCGACTTATTCCAATCTTAGACACCACCGCCATATCTCATTTGCATGGCGTTCCATCTCCACGATCGAGTTTAGGTGCTGATCGGTTTCATTGGTTGCATGGTCTGTTAAAAGTGCATATACAACCCTTGCTCAAAGTTGTTGGCAACCGACTTCTCCAATCTGGTCTCTAATCAGGAAACAGCCCATACCTGAACGCTTAAGGGTTTTGTTATGGTTGGTTGCACACGATAAGATTCTGTCGAACGTCAACGGGTGTAAAAGAGGTATAGCTGTATAGCTCACGACCCCGCTTGTAGTTCTTGTGGTGCGAGTGCTGAGGAGTGCAGAATAGCCGCGGATATGTGGAATTCCATTCCCCATGTTCGCAATCGCAACACCCCGACTTTCTTCCAGCAAAGTCTTCTTGATTGGCTTTATGAGAACTTGAGTTGCTCTTCACTTGTGCAAATTCATGGTGCGACCCTACCATGGAATGTTTTCTTTGCCTCGATGATTTGGAAAACTTGGAAGCACCGAAATGCTCGTATTTTCCAAAATGCTAGCTCCTCATCTGACGCTTTGCTATCCCATGGTCTCCTCTGGCAAACGTATATCATTCTGGGCTCCATCATTCAAAAGCTTTCCCAATTCAATGGGAACCGCCGCCCATGGATGCCTTCTGCCTAAACACAGATGGAGCAGTGAGCAAAGACGGCAGAAGCGCAGCCTGAGAACTCATGAGATCGCATGATGGATCGTTCCTCATTGGTTTCACCCACAAGCATGGCACCTCAACAGTTGTTCAATCGGAGCTTTGGGGAGTTCTTTTGGGGCTAGAGCTAGCTTGGAATCATGTTTCCGTACAATCCTTTTACAGATTGATAGGCTCCGATGCTTTTGAGTTGATTACTTCGGCAAAAGCGGATAGCCATCTCACTTTGGTTCGTCGTATTTTTGAGTTTCTGAATAGGGCTTGGCAAGTGGATTTCTGCCTAATCAAGCGCGAAGCAAACATGGCCGCCGATTTCCTGGCGAAGTTCCCTGGGTGTGCTGATGGAGTGCTTCGAGTTTTTGACACAGCTCCCCCGGCGATGATTGGTATTCTAGAACGCGATGTTCTAGGACCTCCTTATTTGCGTCTGTAGCCGATTTTCTTGGCTCATTTCAATTTCAAAAAAAAAAATAAGGTTAGGCTTGAAAGGATAAGCCGGCTAAAAATGTCATGGTGGCCTAATCAAGGAAGTGGACTTTCTACCTAAATATACCGAGTGAAAATATCGTAAAGGAAATAAAATTCACTTTTTTATTATTTCTCGAAATATAGTCCTTTAAAAATATTGTGGTTTTTATAGGATATATTTATTGCATACGTATTAAAAACGAATTTTACAGATGTGATAATATCCTTGAAAGATATGTTTAGTCGAAAATTCATAAATGTTAGAGGTGTAAGAGTTTAATGTCGAAAGATTGAAAGTTATGTTTGAATAGACACACTTTATACTTACCTCAAATTAATAAAAAAAATAACTTTAAAGATTTAAATTTATTTTAATGCTTATGTAATTTTAAGGTTATATTATGTTAGTTTCGGTGGTTATCTTATTATAGCGTGACACACACTAAAATGAAGGCTAAATGTTAAACGTTTAAAATTTTGGTGTTGTTTTGTGGATTTTCTAAAATTGCATAGATTTTTTTCTATAATTAACCTTAATTTAGGATATTCAAATATCCTTCTTGATTTTGTTTTACGAAAAGAAATGAACGAATCGATAAACGAGTTCATTAATAAGTTTGTTTGTGAACATAAACGAAACGAACATATTTTTATTCATGTTCGTTTGTTTATTGAATGAACATAAAAAAAATTAATCATACATATTTATTTAGCTTAGCAAATTAACGTTATTTGAACTGTTTATAAACTATTCATCGAATGTTCTCTTCATTTATGTCTGTGTCCAAGCATAACATATGAACATAGACTTTTATACTATAATTTAAAATTTTTAGCAGACCCTCTTCGCTCTTTTTCGGACCATCCCTGCTGAGCCAAGTAATGGGGGAGAAACTCAATCTCTCCATCGATGTCCGCAGTTGGGATTACAGCAGATGAAGAACAGTGTCATACCTTCCTCTCCTCTTGCATTTTCCTGAACACAAACAACAAGTTGTCGCCAGAAGAAACAAAATCACAACCCTAAATACTACTCCATGCATGCATAATGCTCATTTCCAGTTAAACTTGTCTACCATTTCTCAGTCAAAGTATATTGTCTGCAAATATCTAAAGCAAACAAATGTTCAAGTAATGTCCAACATGTCGAAATAAGAGAAAGTTGAAGCCTGTAGGAAGTTGACCTGGAAGAAGACTGCTTCGCCGTGTTTACAATTATCGCAAATGACGGATTTAGTCCGAGGAAGAGTTGGATCGTTCGCTACATCCTCCAGTATTTGAGTCCGCTCCCCGGCCGAGTGATGCACCACATTTCTGTAAACGCAGTTGTTATCAGCTACTTCCTGCATAAATTGAAAACCTCCTTAAACCACAAAGTATTGTTCATTCTGACAGGAGAATCATACCTATAGTCTTACAAAAAATTATTAGATTTAGGTTTTTATTTGTATATCATAACCAAAGTAAGATATAGCTAGCTATATATATATATAAAGAAGAAGAAGAAGAACCTGGTGATCGCAGTTGCGGCAGGCGTAGAGAAGAATCTTATGTTCCCTGTCTTCTTTAGGGTAGAGAATATTGTTGCTTCATCAATCAAACCAAAAAAACAACAAAAACAAAATTTAGGTGCAGAGAAAAGTAAATGAAAGAAACGAAGGAAAGGGTAAAGGAAAGTGAGAATGGTACTCATCTTGTTCGGTTAGAAGTTGGAAACGAAGAAAGTTTACTTTGGCGGGCTCTTGCCACCTTGCTTTCTTCGGTATTTTTGCTACCGTCAGAAACTGGGAGAAGCGAACCGATATTTCTAGAAGTGGGTTCTCCCGTAGACCTCTTCCCCGGCCCAATAAGTCTGCGTCTAGTTCAAATTAAACAACATAAAATTTTGCCATATTTACTTACAATTCCTTATCTTCTAATTATTTAACAAAACAACACCTAACAAAGCTATATAACATCCTTTTCTGATGTACGGGTACAAGTGTATTACATCAGTCACGTCTTTCGAAGGTACGTGTTTATCAGAAGTAAAAGAACAAAAGAAAATCGAAGGTCACTTTTTGAAAAAAGAAATGTATGAATTTTATTTAAAAAGAATGAATGGCGCACGGTATATGTCTAAGAAACGTGTTAGAATGGGAACGAGCTGAACAATAATAGTGATACACATGTTCGATGTCGTGAAGAAGAGGATTCCCTCAATGTTACTTCATGTACTTTTTGAGTTGTTTTCTAAAGCATTATTGGATCCGGCTCTTACTTTTTCATTTGCATTTCATTAATTAAATAATTTCACTTAACCCTTATATCAACTAAAACTAAGATGTTTGCCACCAACCCAAATACTATCAAAATAAATCTAAAATATTTTATAATTATTTGAAAATTTTAAATACTATATAATTACTTTTTACTTATTTAAAAATCTAAAATACTTTATTAATAAATTTATGTCTTCAAATTATTTTAGAAATTTTAAATATTTTTAACATAATTTTTTTAAACCCAAAAATATCATGTGGTATTATCATATTGTGACATACGGTAAAAGAACTTAAAAATAATTAAAATTAACAATTAATGTTAATCACAGGACCACGTGTTTTTTCTTAAATTCAAAGTCATGCACGAATCAGGTGACTTTAATAGTAAAGAAATTGTTATTATTTTTTAAGGCCTCAAGTTCGAGCATCATAAAAGATAGAGATATAGACGTTCAATGTCAAATCGTTCAAAATTATCTTTGAACAAATATTATTTTTTAATTACTCTAAATTAATTTAAAAAGTAAGTTTAAGAGTCTTAATTGAATAAAAAAACAAAAACTGAATTAAATTAAAAAAACGTTTATAGGCCTCTTTTTTCTTCTTCTTCATTAAGCCTATAATCTTTTAAGTCTTTGTTGATTTAGCTAATTAAAACGACAATGTTTCTGTCTTTAGATAATTAATTTGGGGACTAAATATATACATCCTCCAACACTTCATTTTTCTCAATAATATATCCAAAAAAGAGAACAAGAATAAAACCCTGCAATGAGTAAGAACTCTAACCATGTGAAAAATTCTTAAAAATTGAACATGTTTATGTGGAATACGTAAAAGATGGATAATTCTCACAAAAACAAAAGCTACAGACCGAAAATAGTGACCAATCACATAGCAAATCTAAGAACTTTCTAATGGCAACCCATTCAAGATAGTCCACTAAACAGCATAACCAAATTCAGGGATTGCCAAAATTGGGTAAACATGCAGTAGCATTCAAAAACAAGTAATCTAGTTGTCCAAAATACTCAGAAACTTACTATAGGAATTTTCAAGCTACAATCATTTCATAACATCTCCAAATCTGATAATGCACAACTACAAACTAATCTCAATTATGTTATAACAAAACAGTGTAAGAAAGAAGAAGAAGAAAAAAGGATGCAATCATCTTGCAAACTTATTTTGGAGGGCTTGATCTTCGGTACCAGTCAAGACCATAACCTTAAAGAGTTCTAATATGGTAGAATTATATGTGCTTAAAACAGACAATGTTGTGTACTACCCTCTCTCATTCAGCGCTTTCTGCTACACCTTGAGCTCTTCTTCTGCCTGCTCCGATCATCGGAATCTGAGTCTGAATCAGAAGACTCAGAAGATGAGCTGTACCTCCTACGCCTACCCTTCTTTTGCTTCTTCTTCTTCTTCCTCCTCCTCCTCCTCCTCTCTTCCTCTGACTCGGAGGATGAGCTGCAATCCGTACTACTCCCCTCTGAAGAATATTCTGATCCCGTGACAGACGAGGCATCAATATCGGTCTCAAAAACTGAAGCCTCGCTATCACTACCAGTACCGGAATCTGACCGATATTTCCTTTTGCTTTTCTTAGATCTATCATCATCCTTCTTATCCTGTCCATCTGGGATGTCCAAATCATAAGAAATCGAAAGCTTCATCCTGAGTTTGGGGTTCTTAAGCTGCTGAGTTCGAGAGGATCGTGACATGTAAACCCGTTCGTTCTTGCATTCGAAAGTCCAATGCCCTGCTTGGAGACACTTTTGGCACTGTGAAGCACCCATTGTAGGCATCGTAGCCTTGTCTTTCCTTTCGCCTAACCTCACCGCCTTCTCCGTACTCATCAAATACATTTGCCTCCTTGCCTCCCTTTTCTCCTGCCATCTACTAGGTCCTTCTTCCTTCTGCCCGTAAGCATTAACATTCCGAGTAGCGGCAGTAGCCGCCCTTTCAGCCTGAGCACGACTGAGGCCTTTGGCAGCACAAAGTGCTGCAGCCTTGATTCTATCAGCAGCAGCCTGAGGTTTTTCTTCTTTGTTACCCGACATCTTTCCAATTCAATCCGACCCAAATCCCAAACTTCAAAACAAATATGAAAAAAAAAACAGATTAGGCCGATATATAATTACTATATCTCCAAGAAAAGAAATTCAATCCAACCCAAATCCTTCATCACACGGCAATCCATTATACAAAGAATCTAATTAAGGGACTAAAGACAAATAATTAAAATAATTAAAGGAAAAAAATGAAAAGAAGAAACATAAAGCAGTTACAAAACCCTAACTTCAAAACAAGAACTTGAATAAAGTTTTGTTTAGTCCCTGTTAAACTTCAATTGAAAGTTTAATGAACCTGAATAAACTTCAATTGAAAATTAAGAGAATATGAACGTTAGAGCACACCGCAACTTCTTGGCGGCCGAAGATCCAGAAAAGGCAAAGAGGAAAGGTTTTAACCTTTTTTTTGTCAAACGAAACCATTATTAAATGTGGTGGTTTTTTAGTCTGTTTCATCGTAAGGTAATTTATTTTTGGGAAAATTATTTTAGAGTAAAGTACACAAATGATCCCTATCCTATAAGATACTACTCTTTTTTTTTGGATAATCAATTTCATTACCCAAGAAAGCAGAATTCTGCTACAAAAAAAACCAACTCATTACAACACATCATTCATCTAATAGCAAAGCATTACCAAAGAGAACAGATGCAACAAAGGCTAACAAGGAACAGAGAAAACATCACAATTATGAAATACCCCAGCTAACACAAAGGGCAATGTTCCTAGAGTCACTTCAGTTAATTGGCCAACCATCGAGTCGAATCTGGATATCAGTTTTAATGCTCAGCAGGATATCACTCATCAGCCTAAGCAATCCACCATACAGTATGTTGTTCCTTTCTCTCCATATGACATACACATAGCTTGTCAAAGCAAGCTTAAACACTCTCGTGAGAAGGGACTTTCCTTTAAGGCAGTGAGCAACTCATGAAAGCTCGCCTTGCCAGTGGCTTACTCTTCGGTTAACTCCACATAGCAGAAGGATGGCCTTCCACAGGCTTTTAGCATAACCACATTCAAAGAAAATGTGATTTCTAGTCTCAGGCACCAAATCACAGAAGAGACATCGATCATTCTCTATTACTAGTCCCATTCGCATCAGTCTAACCCGGGTGGGAAGCCTATCCAAAATGGCCATCCATAGAATTATGTTGTGCTTAGGGATGCGCCCGGAAAACCAAACCAGATGATGCCAAGCAACCTTTGGAGCCACGATGCGCAAGTCGTCCCATATCTGCCTAGTACTGAGGGCACAATCACGGTTAACAAAGAGATGATTAACCGAATGTCTCATCTTCAACAGCTTTTTGAAATTCCAGCTAGCATCAGTAGGAGGAACCATATGCCAAAAATATGCATTTTTAATAACATAAGACCGAGTCCAAGCCACCCACAAGGAACCCTCATCAGCCAATAAGTTTCGAATCAACCTCACAGAGCAAGCCCTATTCCATCCTTGTATATCAATAACACCAAGGCCCCCTTCAGACTTTGGAAGACAGATCTGTCTCCAGCTCACCCTAGCTCCCTTAGCAGGAAGATCAGCACCCTTCCAGAAATACCGAGAGCATAACTGCTCAACTTTCTTGATTACCCCCCGAGGAAGCATAACTTGCCTACACCAATAATTAGTTAGGCTGAACAAAACAGAACGCACTAACTGGAGCCTGCCAGCAAAACTCAAATGTTTATTTTCCCACAAGGTCAACCTAGCTCTGATTTTATCAATGAGACTAAGGTAGTCTCTCTCCGTGAGCTTCTTAGTCACCAAAGGAATTCCTAAGTAGCGAACAGGGAGTTTGCCTAATTTAAAACCAGTGCCCTCATTGATGGCAGTGCATTGAGCAGCAGTTAACCCCGCTACAAAAATCTCACTTTTGTTAATATTGAGCTTCAACCCAGACATGAGATAGAAAACTTCCAGAACAGCTTTGACACCACTAATAGAGTCAACAGAGGGCTTGCAAAAGATGAGGAGATCATCCGCAAAGCAAAGATGGGTTAAACCAATCCTTTTACACTTGGGATGATAATTGAAAATCCCCTTAAGAGCAGCCAGGTTCAATAGATTTGATAATACATTCATGGCAAGCACAAAGAGATAAGGTGAAAGGGGGTCACCTTGCCTAACACCACGAGCCCCCCTAAAATAACCAACTAAACTGCCATTTATTACAATCGAATAGCTAGGCTTGGTAAAACAAGCAGAAATCCAGCTAATAAATCTAGCAGGAAGGCCAAGAGCAATGAGAACAACAACTAAGAAATCCCAATTGAGAGAATCAAACGCTTTCTGTAGATCCAACTTCAAGGCACATCTAGGGGAAATGTTCTTTCTACTCTAGCCCCTAACAACCTCTTGGGCAAGGAGGGTATTATCCACTATACTCCTACCTTTAACAAAAGCAGTTTGATTCTTTAAAACCATGCTAGGGAACACAGTAGACAATCGTCTCACTAAAATCCTTGTAATGGTCTTATATATCACTGTGCAGCATGATATAGGCCTAAAGTCCTTGACAAGGCTAGGATTTGGCACTTTAGTAACCAAGACTACAGCAGTGGCATTAAAGGCAGGGAGAATAAAAGATATGTCAAAGCAATACCTGATAGCAGCAACAAAATCCACACCCACTATGGACCAAGCTTTCTTGAAGAAGAAGGGATTAAAGCCATCGGGCCCAGGAGATTTATCATTGCCTTGCCCCCAAATGGCTTATTTAATTTCAGCATCAGAAACATCTCTGCACAGTTCGCCGTCAGCGCCTGTAGGGAGTGAGAAATTAAGAAGACCCCTAATAGTAGAAACAGTGTTGCCCAGGACATTATCATCTACCAAACCCAGCTGATTCTGGAAAAATTTAATCACCTCAGCCGAAATACCATCAAAAGAGTCCAATCTATTTCCCGCTTGGTCATAGAGAACTCTGATTGTATTACTCTTTCTTCTGCTAGCCACTACTGAGTGGAAGCATTTCGTCCCTTGGTCACCCTCCTTGATCCAATTGGCTTTAGCTTTTTGTTTGTAAAATAGTAACTCAGCCTCTTCAAGATTTTTTAGCTCCCTTTCTACTTGAAGTTCATTCTCAATGCTGCTGCCAGCAGAACCCCATTGAAGATTAGTAAGCTGAATACTAAGGAGTTCCTCTCGCTTCTGTTTCACCTTATTTGAAATGTCATTGAAATAAGCTTTATTTAAAGCCTTGAGAGAGCACTTCAACCTCTTCAATTTTTGGAACAAAACCTGAGCTGGATTTCCAACCATTGGTTGCTGCCAAGAATCTCTCACAATGTTTAAAAACCCCGGGTGCAAGGCCCAAAAGTTGAAAAATTTGAACGGCTTTGGCCTTGCAGTAGGGGTTGCCTTGTGGAGCCACACAAAGGCAGGGCAGTGATCCGAGTCCCCAGGGGCCTGAAACTCCACTGCAGAATCTGGGAAAACATCGATCCACTTTGGGTTTATCATGACACGATCAAGCTTACGAGCCAAATAAGTATCTTGCTGTTTAGTTGACCAAGTGAAGCAAGGACCATTGTAGGGGTTATCAAAAATCCCCAAATTATCCACACAATTTCGGAATTCAGAACTGTCAACCAAAGTCGAGGAACTAACATAAACCAAGCTTTCCTCGACATTCAAGATGATGTTGAAGTCACCACCTATATCCATGGAAGATCTCCCACAGTACATTCCAGAGAGTTGAGTTGACTCCATAACTGCCTCCTACCATTTCCCTCATTCAAACCATAAACAGCAGTAAGAATAAAAGTGTTACCCCCAATAGCACATCTAACAGAAATACATTGGTCAAAAACAAAAACAACTGAGCAATCCATACATCTACGCCAGAGAACCCAAATTCGACCGTTGGCAGCATGATTATAATTACAGCAAGCTTCCCAATCACTAAAATTTCGACTTAGAATAGCCAAAGAGCTATCAACCTTAACTCGAGTTTCCAATAAGCAGAGAACATCAATTTGGCAATTTCCAGCCCACCTCATCACTTTACCTTGCTTGCGAGGATTATTAAATCCTCGAACATTCCAGTAGCAAATTAACATAAGGGATTTAGGGAAGAAGAGGCACAACATCTAACCTCCAGCTTCATAACTTTGTCAACCTGCTCCTTCTTCTTTAATTTCAAATCCTGGACCAGTTTAGCCACCCCAAGCGAAGCTGCTCGTTGCTTCTTACCCGAGTCCTCAACTGGTTGCAAATGTTCAGGATCAATGGAGGCCAGAATCTCAAATTTATTCTTGGAGCCCCCCATAGTAGTTTTACCTGGCCTACCTCTTCCACGCTTCAATGGGGGGTTGCTACCAGGAGGACCCTCATTAGTGATCTGTTTAGTGCCATATTTAGCTCCATCCCCTGAAGCAGCTTGAGCCTTGTCTAAACAAGTATCAACAACACCTTCAGAATTACATGGATCAATCTGCTCAGTCTGAATGCTACCTCCAAGAGCTACTATAGGATTTTGCTTCTCAGCCTCAACTATACTATTATTTACAGTATCATCTAGTTTAGCTTCATGTACTGTTTGCTTTACCCTCCATTCTTGCTTCTTCCCAGAGGGCAGAATTTAACAGAATGCCCAAATCTCTTACACTCCACACAAGATGAAGGCCTCCAAGGAACAACAACCTTAATTCGGGCAATAGAATCATCGCAAAGCAACACATCTATGTAATCTGGAATTTTAGAATTTACAGAAATTTCTATACAAACCCTAGCAAACTCCAATCTCTCCCTAGAAGCTGTAATAGAGTCCATGTGAAGAGGCTTACCAATTGCACTTGCAATGTAGCTTAAACCGCTCTTTGAAAATAATTCCAAGGGGACATTGAAGAGCTGAAACCAAATTGGCATGCGATCCAAATCGAAGTGTAGCTCCTTCAAATTCGGCTCCCATTTCCTAAGGAAAAGAGGTTTGTGTTGAATATGCCAGGGACCATTCTCTAAAACCCAATCCCTGGCATACGAACCAGTAAAAGCAAAAACAAAAAGATTAGATCCCGCAATGCTCACCTTCACCGGAGCAGCCTTGTTCCACATCAGGTCAATCGTCTTCTGCAACAACCCAAAATTGGGAGTCGAGCCTATAAATTACCCAACAAGAGCGTACC